AGCGTCTCGCAGCCCTGGAGGGGGAGGTTTTGTGAAAGAAACTTATTGCCCGGGGCTTTGAGTCAAAAAATGCAAACGAAAGGGAAGCATGAAACGAACGAGCTCAGACTTTGCTTAAAAAGTGGAACCCCGTGCCTCGCTCACGAAAATGTATTCTGGGGTGAGATCCCAGATCTTGTCTGCCATCCCGACGGTTCCAGGGGGGACGCTGATGGGGTAATTCCCGGCACCAATGAGCGTGGCTGTGATCTCCATGGAAGCCCCCCCCCTGGCGCAGATGAGCGGTTTCACGGTCTCCGGGTTGATCCTGCGATTCGGGTACTTGTCGCAGTAGCCCACTGCCTTGCCGGCCAGGCCGGCCAACACCGGCTTGCAGTCCTCGGCCCCGCGGACCCTGTCGTCGAAGAGGTAGGTGGCCATGTTGTGGCACAGATTGGCCCGTCCATCGCCGCCAAAGCGGCGGAGCGTGTAGATGACTGTCCCCTTGCCACCCCCTGGCGGGCCGGTGATGCAGACAAACCCCACAAACTTGTCGGTCCTGGAGAAGATCTTGGCGTCCATCTTGCGAAGCGGAGCCCTTGATGGCACCGTCCTCCTCGTGACATGTGGGCTGTCTGGGGCAACCGACTTGGGTTGCTCGAGAACGGCTGCAAGGCCCAATTCTACCACAGAACCAAAAGTGGCAGAAGCGATCTTGAATCTGTGGGAATCCCATCTAGTCAGGTGACCAATGCCCCCACCGTTTTGGGATTTACCTTTATGGGCCTTCAACAGCGCAAGGCTGCAAAGAAGGAGTCGGCCCGACTTACTGAGGCCATCACTAAGGCAAACAGATGCGCGTGCCTGCCGGGCTCCGGCGCAAGAAAGGCAAGGATTGCGAGGCTAACTACCCACCCGGTGGCTGGGGATGGGTGTTTCGCAACCCGTCACTTCCTGACGTGAGACCCTATTGGAAGGTTGCTAGGCGTTTGCTTAGGTGGCCGGTTCGAGTGCTCTGCCGCCACAGGCAAAGAACGCATTGCGACTTAGGCCCACGCCAAGAGTGGATGGCAGGGAACCTTAGGAGAAGCATGATCCGACTGGGGTTCAGAGAGGTTTCAGACTGGACTTGGCAGCAGGCCCTTTTTGCCTCACTGGTGATGCAAGCTACTTGCAACCCTCTCAAATGCAACACCAGCTTCGTGAAGCTTGGCGGTGGACCAGGTTTAAGGCCTGGCAGATGCAACTCAGGCGAGACGCCCGGGCCTGTCGACAGGCCTGCTATGAGTCTGAGCGGTTTGAAGTGGGATGGTGGTGGCTGGGGGGGGGGGGTTTCCGAGGGCTAAGGAGGGCCGCTGTTGCGGCCGCGGGTGCGGCAGCTGCCCCCAGCGGCGCTTTGCTGCTGTGCGGGCGCGCGCCAGTCACGCCTCTTTTCCGCGTGATGCCGGTGCGCTTGGTCACGACCTGCGCGCGAGGGCTGGCGTAAGCACCTTTTCGCCGATTGGCAAGGTCGCCAAGCGAATTATGATGAGACTGTTTGTTCTCATGCCAGGAGTGCTGCCTTGACGGGGGCGGCCTACAGCTAGGCCCGTCGGCCGCGCCCTGATCAGGATAGAACTTGTCCTCTTTACCACGCGGAGATCGGTCACTGGCAGCGCCTTGCCTGGGAGTGTCCTCTGAATCCCCCGCCCTGTTGTCCCTCCTCCTCTCTTGAGGCTCGGAGTGGTGCTGTGCTTCGTCACCTGGAGTGCGCTAGGTTGAAGATCTCACCTTTCACGCGTGACCCGTCCTTGCACGTGAGTGCTGCTGGTTGAGCTGCGCCGGCTTGTTGTTTTGGGGTTGAGTTGCTTCTCTTCCTCCTTCCCGTTTCACTGTTTTCGTGCTCCTGTTTCACTCTGGGCTCTACCTGCTGTACTGTCCCGTGCTTTTTCTTTGTTTGCGCACCTGGTAAGGCCGACGACTAAGGCCTCCCTGGCTGGATGATGGCTTGATGCTGTCACTGGCACTTCTATTTTTGTATATAATTGACGCAATATTCCACCCGCGCACGGGGGAGACCTCTGGTTAAGGGGTCGGCCACCTTGGGCGGCAACCAAGGTGGTGGCACTCGGGACCGGGAAGCGAGATGCCCGGATCGCATGGGAGGGGCGGGCCCCTGCTGCATGTGAATTTGGTGATGGTGGGGCCGGCTGTTCTTTTTGGAGACAGCAGGCTGCAGCGTGCTCGCAGTGTGCGAGGCTGTGGTCGTGCGCCCTGTTTTGGGTTGCCTTCGCCTTCGGGTTTCGGACTCTCGCGGCCATCGCCGGTAGGTGGTGGGCTGCGGGAGGTGTGCCCCGGCAGTTCCAGGAGTCGAGAACGGTGGTCATCCTGAAACCTGGGAAGCTGTCACGTGATCTCGGTGTTAGATGCCCGACCGATCACTGTCTTATCTGTGTGGTGATTATACTTCATGGGTAGTTCAAGATCTCAAGGAATGGATCACTAGGATGCCCGAGGAGTTTTCGTCTGTGTGCGGCACTAGCTGCGAATCGACGGCTGCGGAGATCCTTGGTCGTTATGGCCAAGACGGGTATTTGCCCTGGACTATAGTAAAGCGTACGACCGCTTGCATCCAGAGTTGACCACCGCTTTGCTGCGGAGGCTCGGCTTGCCGGAGGACCTCCTGCGGGTCCTCACCGAGGTATGGGGCCAACAGACGAGATGGTTGTGCTGGCAGCAGCACACTCACGCTTCTCCACTGGTGGCCCCTGCCATGCCTCAGAGCGAGCCGCTCGGACCTCTCGTGATGTCGCTGTGGGTTGCTGCAGGGCACTCCCTGATCACGGCCGGCCGTGGTGTGTTCAGCCGAATTTATATCGACGACCGCGCCGTTGTGGCTACCTCTGCGGAGGAAATCGCCCATCAGCTGTAGGAGTGGGAAACGTGGAGTTTCTCCGTTGGTCTGCGTGCGCATTGCGCGCGACGCTCGTAAGAGGCGCGTCCTCGAGGCTCGCATTGCGATCGAGGACACGAGCCGGTGGGCCCTTTCGTGTCCCGAAGCGAGAACCATCGCTTGCGGGGCTTCTTGGAGCCCGGCCGCCTTGCAAGGTCGTATCGCGGAAAGGCCTAGTACTAGGTGCCGAACGTTCACCTTTTGGTGAGGACCTTCGGGCAGTGGTGGGACGCCAGTCGGATGGACAGTCAGTTTGTGGTCGGAGTTCCAAGATGGAAAGCCGGAGGCTGAGCATTGAAATGTTGGCTCCAAGGCCTTGTCCAATGCTCTAGCCGAACTCGCTGAGGTGCCGAGGCAAACAATTTGACCTTCCCTGGCCTGACTGGGTAAACCCTTGACACTCATGAAGCATGTTGCTAAACAAGCTGAAGGTGCATGAATCGCAGGCGGATGGAAGAAGCAACCCGGAATTGTGGATAGAATAACCCGGCGGAACCTCCTACTCCTGAGAGCTTCTGGTTTGTTGAAGGAAGCATGTGCCGAACAGAACAAAGCACAGATCCAGAAACGGAAGCAACGAATGGGCGACCACAAGCAGGCGCACAAGTGGCTGAGGCAAACAGCCCCCTTCCTCGTGTGCCACTCCGCGCTCTTGGCATAGAGGACGCCGTGGGTTCGCTCCTTGAACTTGTTATAGACTCTTGACAGGTCCGGCAACGGCGTGGCAGGGTGCGCCAGGGGCCACAGCCCAGGCCAGTAAAGTGAATTTTTGTGCGGGGTGCTGATGCTGCCCAACCCCGCAAGCGGAGTGACAGCTTCAGTGTGCTGCAAGGATGCTTTGGCTGGATGTTAAGGGTCAAAGCCTCTTGCGCGGAAGTGCGGTGGCAAGCAACGCTGAGCTGCTCAAAAAGTTGGAGCAGGGCATTGGCGTCCGCGGTTGGTTCGCTCAGCGGTTGAGGCTCGCGAGCTTGCTAGTGCGCGTGGCGTGAAGTCGGCTTTCGCGCGCCTGGCGGCCCCTAGCGAGCAACGTTCAGGCGGTTGCATCATTGCTGGAGCAATCCAACATTGCCGAGGTTTTCCAAAACTTGAGCTCGGGCTTTTTGGAAGGGCGCCCGGTTTGGTTGTTTTTGCTTCAACAAAAGCCAGAGGGAAACCGAAAGAGAAGCAAAAGAACACCAGCCTGCGCTGTTTTCTAGAATTCCGCCAAATCGTAGCTCCAAATGTGTGAGTTCTAACGCAAACGCGCGGGCATGAAGCCACACATACAACGAAGCGCGGACATGTGGTTGTTTTGTCGGTTTTCGCAAGGTGCTTTTCTGTTGTTTTTCTCAAAGGTTTCCAAAGGAAACAGAAACCCTCAGAAAGAAAAAGCAAACACAATGAAACAAACCCCAAACGTCCCCTGAAGACAGGCAGTCCAGTTTTGTTGTTTGTTTTGCTTGGTGTTTCTTGGTTTGCTGAAGTTTTCATGTTTGTCGTTTTTTGTTTCATACTGTTAGCTAAAATCCTCAAAAAATCCAGAGAAAACAGAAACAAAAACAAAGAGAACCAAACAACCCGAAAAACTCGAGAAAACTAAAACAGACGAACAGCCGAGCACATAACCAAATAAGCAAGCCAACAAAGAACAAAGGAAGCAAGCAAGCAAACAAACAATGAAACAAACAACAAACAAATAAGGCCAACGCCCCCTCAACCTGTAAACGCGCCAAAACAACGGCAAGGGTTCCTCTTGTTTTTAGGGGGGGCTCCGCGCTGTGGTTGTCTGAAGGTGCAAGAGCATCCTCAGTCTGCATGTTATTGGCTCCCTCTGAAAAAGCCAGTACATGTCCACGCCTTTTTGAGCAACCTCCCCTTCCCGAAGAAAAACCAATACATATGCAGGTCTTTTTTACAAACCCTCCGAGCCCTCAAGAAAACCAGTGAGTTTGCCTGGCTGCTTGGACAAACCCCACGATCCCTGACAACTACAAACGAAAAAGGAAACCGATGCGCAACCAGAGTTCATTTTGTCCGAGGGGTTCCTTGCTTTGGAGCGCTAAACCCATCAGCCTCAGGCGCAGAGAAAGACCACGAGACGAATCTTCAAATGGTGGCCGCGGAGCGAGCCAAATACTTCCGAGCGGTGAAGCGCTTGTTCGCGCAGCTGCTCGGAGAGACGTGGCGCGTAGACCCCATTTTTTAAAAAGGGCCAGCTGGGAAACCCGTGTTTGGGGCCTTGCTGGCAAACCACGGTTTGAAAAAAACGAATGGAATATTTGCAGTTTGGGAGGTACCCCGCTTAAAACCAAACCCATATTGGTGCGAATGTGCCTCCCAGGCATTCTTCAATCCCTGCGCAACCTGGGATCCGAGCGCTGGACATGCAAGAAGGAATGCGCAGATCAGGTCTTGTCTTGTTTTTTGCCTCTCCTCGGCAATGTTCGTTTTGTAGTGCTGACTAAATATGGAACAGAATCTGAAAGTCATGCGGCCATAAGTTTTGATGAGGGACCACCTCACAAGTGCTTGGTGGACATGAATGCGCACCTAAATGATGTCCAAAGGGTCCGGGACCCATTCGAACTCACACGAGCCCTGGGCCCAGGGTTCCACGTCAGGTTGGACAAAGATCAGGATGGAGGCATCACGGCGAAAGAGTTTGAGGCGCGGAACGTGAACGTGGAGGAATTCGGTCCACGAGCGTCCCAACTGGGTTGCTCTGCTTTTGAGTTCCATTTGACTCCAACCAATGAGGAAGGCGACAATGATAAACAACCAAAGGACACCAGCCAAAGGAAACCCGCAAAACGGCTGGAGCTTCCTCTTGCGGGGATCTTTTTGGCACCATAGGCTTTCTGGTTGAAGCTTGGTTGAAGATTGATAGAATCCGCTATCTTTGGGAGCCTCCACATCTCTGTGTTGTCAACGATTCTTGGGTAGGTTGTTGGTGAGCAATCCCGTTGAGCCGCCTGACAAGACAGTGACTATTAATCGGGGTCCCTGTATTTCCCGAATTGGCAAGCTTATACGTTGGACAGATTGTCACATCCTGCTTCATGCTGCACTTCATGCTGCCCGGCTATGCTTGCCTGAAATGCACATGGGGTTCCCAACCTCTATCTAGCTTTCTGCCGCTTTGTGAAACCCTACGTTGTGCTTTGGATTGGAGGTTTCGGGAGTTTAAGCCCCATCTCCTGTTGAAGCCAAATTCATGCATGGTTGTTTCTGTAAGACTTTGCACGCAAATGAACCACTGGCAAATTATAGGGGTTCCCGGGTTCCCCTTCATAGATCCTCTAAACTACAAGCCCCAAAGCCACCAAGTAAATGGGACGCTGACAACAAATTCAGGAACCCCAAGAACTCAACCCAGGGTCCTTCATCGCAGCATAGTATGCCACCCCGCAAATTTAAGTCCGCTTGGAGGTTCTTTCGCAACGTGTGGTGGAAATTTGGAAAAGCTAAAGGTTCCCCATTTATGGGGCCTTGTGAGGGTCTCTGGGCGAACAAGAGAAGGGGGGCACCAACCCTCCCAGCAACCAAGCCACTAAGCCAAGCCACTAGAACCAAGCCAAACAAACCCAAACCTAGCAATACAAACCATTGGGTAGGGTGCTTTTCACCGCTTGGGTTTTTTGGGGTCTGCCGGGTGTTTTGGGTGTCTGTTGCTATCTTCCCGGTGTTTTTGGTGTCTGGTCGATGTATGGGCGCCTGCTGCCAGGGAGCCCAAAGCAGTACTCGTCCATGACTCCTGTAGTCATGACTAAATTGGGTTTTGAGGTACCCCACACCCCCACTCTAAGTTGTCTGCCTATGTTATGGCAAGCTGCCCCGATCCGGGGATAACACGACCGAAGCTGCTTGATGTAGGTCCTTTACTTGATCGTCTATTTCAGGTTTTGGAATCATAGTAACATTTGAAGAATCACTGGGGCCTTGTTTTTAATTGTTTTCCAGGGCAAGCATTGCAGACGATGTATGCCCCCCAAAAAAGACAGATAAGCTGAAAACAAGAAACGATTGGTGGTTTAAACAAAACACACCCCACCTCCCCGCTCCCCCGAACCCCCAAAAAGATAGGCAGATCCCCCCAAAACAATAGCAAAGGAGAAACAAGACAGACCTCCATTGGGGCCCAATTTTTCATGCTTCTTCGGAGAGATGGCGCCTTTAAAACAAACTGCCAAAAAATGAGTGCCGATCATCTTTTCCAAACGGAAATCCGCTGGGGGGTAGGCCGCACACAACTTCGGCGCTCAACAGAGTCATAAGGGGATAAGCCCTGCTTACCCAAGTTGTAGCCATGGTTCTACCCTACTTACATTGTTGGTCGAATATCCAAGAAGACATGTGGGTGTGTCTGAAAACCGGGAACCCCCCCAAACAAAACAAGAGAGAGAGAGAGAGAGAGAGAGAGACAAGAAATGGTGGTCCTCCTTGTAAAGCTAGCCCACAAAGGGTTCCATCGCGCACGTTTTTTTTTCCGTCCCCGAGATCGCCTTGGAAACCCCCACGCTGATACACGTCTTCGACGCGCTGGAGCTGAGCGTGGAAGATGCCTGGGCGCTGTTCCGGACCTTGGACAGCGCGGGGGGTCCCGGATCTCAGATCAAGCCATGGCGCCGGTCAAAATAGGCGGACCCAAGCAATTGTGGTTGTCTTTTGGGGCGGGTGGCTTGTTGCCTTAAAAACAAGTATGTCCTTTTTTTCTAGGGGCTTAAGCAATTTGAAGTTTTGGATTGTTCAAGGGAAGCCAGCAGCAACACCATTTCAGGAGCCCCAGCCGCTTCGGGTGGACGGTTAGGGGACAGCACGTCAAATTGCGCGGGAAGAAACCCTCAGAGAATCTCTACATAGTTTTGGATAGGCCACTGTACCAGGTTTGGATTGACTCGGGAAGAACCTCGACGGATACGCTGGGCTTCTCAAGTGAAGGATTCCCTGGGAGATATTAATTACAGCAAACAATCATAACATGTGTAATCACCAAGCCCCTTACATGAAGGTGCTTCAGGTCTGCTGTTTGAGGCACGTCGTACTCCTTATCCAACAGGGAACCTCGCCATTTGGAGATTGGACGGCTGAGATATCCAAAGCGAGGTTCCGGCTTCGGGCCCTTCGAAATATTCACGAGGGTTCGGGCAAATCTCCTGTCTAACAAATATTTGGCTGGTTTTTGGCACGAGCAAATCAGCAGGGTTATCTATTTTACCACAAAAACAAAGAAACAAACAAACAAACAAACAAACAAACAAACAAGCGAGCAAACGAGCGAACGGAAGGTTTTTGTGCACCAGTCAGTTACATGATGGGTTGATCAATATCGACCCAAGCTGAATAAACACTGCGGCTTCATAGGGGTTGTTTCCCACCAAGGTGGTGGTTCCGCCTAACAGGGTTCCCATTGTAGCCAGCCAAAGTCCGAAATGGCAAGGGGTTCATGCGAGTTCGGTCAAAAGGGGGGGGTCATCGCGCTCTTCAAATCTGAGCCAACCCTCATTGCATGTCAACAACCCGATGGGCCAAGGTGCTCATCCTGCTTGGAAGCAATGCTAGCATACCTAAAAAACAACCGCTTGCTTGCACAATTGAGGCAAATCATTCTTGGACGGGTCTTCCCTTGCAGGTCTATTGCTTGCAAAACCAGGAAATATGAGAGAGACAATGCGAGGTCCTCTCGAAGGGCCAGCTTGCATAGCCCAAATGGCATACCCCACATATAGGCCTATAGGGATGGAGTATAGCCACCAATTTTGGAGCATGTCCATTTGGGGCATGCAAGGTGGCCCTTGGATCCTCCTGTGTTGCAAGAACACTCGACTGGCCCGTGTCTGCGATGTCGCCAAATGTCCTGCGTGATCAAACCTCCTTTTCAATTGAAGCGAAGCAGCCAAGTCGGGCCAAACAAATCGTTTTTGCTTCCCTGCCTCAAAACGATTTGTTCGGGCCAAACAAATCGTTTTTGCTCCCGGGGCTTAAAAACGATTTGTTCGGGCCAAGCAAATCGCTTTTGCTCCCGGGCCTAAAAACGATTTGTTCGGGCCAACAAATCGTTTTTGCTCCCGGGCCTAAAAACGATTTGTTCGGGCCCAACAAATCGTTTTTTCTCCCGGGCCTAAAAACGACTTGTTCAAATCGCTTTTGCTCCCGGGCCTAAAAACGATTTGTTCGGGGCCAACACATCGTTTTTGCTCCCGGGCCTAAAAACGATTTGTTCGGGCCAAACAACTCGTTTTTGCTCCGGGCCTAAAAACGATTTGTTCGGGCCAAACAAATCGTTTTTGCTCCCGGGCCTAAAAACGATTTGTTCGGGCCAAAGAAATCGTTTGGCTCCTGGGCTTAAAAAACGATTTGTTCGGGCCAAACAAATCGTTTTTGAACCCCGGGCCTTAAATGCGTGGAGATTGATGTTGGGCTCAATTCGCGGAACACTGGAGGAAGGGCGCGGAAGGACCGCGGAAGGGTTCCGTGATTTGGATGACTTGTGTGCGATGTGTTGTTCTCGTTGGCCCTGTACCGGAATCGTAGCCGCGGTGTGTCGTGAGGCTTCACGTTTGCGTTGCAAATCTATTGGGATTCGCGTTTCAGGGCTCGTCGTTTTGAGTATGGGACCCATAAACCATTTGCTACAGCCGTCTACTGCTCGTAACAGAAACTGGATGGCTCCACAGACCAGGTCAGCGCGTCGCACGGTTGCACAAGGATGTCTCAAGCACAGGCTCGCAATCTTTTCAGGGCTTCCCCAGCATGGTGGTGGAAAACAAGCTCAATATCTAGTTGTGTTGGCTTGGCAAGAAAGAGACGCAAGCCGCGGAAGGCGCGGACGGGACATGAGAGCGCGGAGGCAAGCCACGGCGCGGAAGCGCGCGGAAACACGCGGAAGCGCCAAATGATATCATCGCAATTTGGCCTATTGATTTTGATCACCGCTCAATTAGCAAGTACCCCAAAAACTTCATTTCCTCTTGGTGTTCCTTCATCCAAACGAGGAGGGGGGCCCTATTTTGGGAAGCAACCACCCCTAAAACAATCATGGAACCAAGCGCCCCCTGGTTCGGATCTTTTTCCAAGGACCTCAGAGACACTTCTCCCACGAAGGATTTTTTTTCTTCATGCTTGTGTCACACAGTGGGCACCGTAAATTACACCAGCCTCGACCCCAAACAGCAAAAAAACATGACAGGTCTGTATAACCCAAAAAAGGCTTGTCTCAAACATGTAAGATGCGAAATTGAGTAGCTTATGCCAGCAACACATAGTTACAATCAGTCTATGTATGTCCCTGTAGGAAGTCCCCTTTTTTGGGAAGAGGACACATCGGGTCCATCCATCTCCTTGACGCCGGTTAAAAGCATCGATGTTGTTCATCGACTTTGAGGAGGGAAATGCCATGTCAATGCCATGTTCGAGAGTGAAGGCTTCAGGGGTGCGGGGTGAATCAACCTAACACCTGGCATTAATCAAAGGAAGTTTCGAAGGAACTTCCGTAGCACGGACACTCAATGCACTTTTCCATCACCGCAGCATTTGGTGGCCGTCTCGCTACTCTGCTGAAACTTGCGCATCAGTCTCAGCAGCTTGCGGCCGAGACTGGGCACATGCCACTTCTGGTTGCTATCTTAACTCTCGAGCTCGGCTAAAGGTCTTGCCACAGGCAAAGCAAGAGAGAACTTGCATAAACTTACAGACTGCGGCGTTAGCAACTCTTATTAGATTATACAGCCACCGAACATGTGTCGAAACATGGCCATGACCGTGTGTTGCAATTACCACATTGAGAACCAGAGCCGCCATTCCGTAATGTTGCTGGGGAGTTCGCCACGCACGCAGAGTGTCCAGCAGCACCGAAACCTTTTGCGAGAACGGGTCGGAATCGATGTTCAAGGCGTAGTGGAGGCAAAGCTGTGTCGTCAAAGAAGAAATGGATGGGCCATGTCTTTAGCACGTGTTGCTTCGGTGAGCGATGGTCTTGATGCTATCAGCACATCCCTCCAGCTTGGTTTCCCGACAAGCCACGTATGCTGCGAGCAAGTAAATCAGAATCTCGCCCAGAGCTGCAAAATTCAAGTCGAGATCTCGGAAAAGAACGTTGATTGCGAGAATGAAATGGAATTGCTCGGATTTCCAAAAATACTCACTGCGGGAGGCTAGCGCAAGCGCCATGCAATACAGCTCACGTTGCACCGTTTTCGTGTTCCATGGGTCCAGAGACTGTAGGGAAGCTAGCGTCTCAGAGAACGATAATGGCACCCTACGACGTCCCCATGAAAACCCTTGAGCCCTCGCACTTGCAAGCCCTGAGCACTTTCGGAGACGTGCGAAACAGCAGCGTCCATATTGCGGATATGTGGAACACAAGGCTGAGAAATCTGTCTTCAACCCTTCTGTCAGGAGGCAACGAGATATGTCAAAGCCGCGAGCTTGGCATCACGAAGGTGTGAATGCTTCAGCAAAATGCGATTGTCAGTGGGAATGGATTACATAGGTTGTAAAGAGGAAAAACGTCGCAGGACCAGCTAGCGAAAGACTGGATATGATTTTTGCCGGGCCACATGGCTATCCAACTGAGAAGGTGCTAAACACTGGCAACAAGATAGGAGGCAAGGTTTACAACAGCACTGCCAACAAGAAAGGGTGCTCGAACTACAGTGATGCTACCAAGAGGAAACTAGAAGATGGGTGGCCCGAAAGCATGAGCAGCGCACGGCGCCAAGTAGTCCTAGCAAGTTCTCTGCGCAAGTTCCTCTGAGCAAGTTGTTGGCGCGAGTTCCTTTGAGCAAGTTCTCCAAGCAAGTTCTTGGCACAAATTATCTGAGCAAGTTCTCAGAGCAAGTTCTCAGAGCAAGTTTCTCTGAACAAGTTTCAATGAGCAAGTTGTCTGAGCTGCTACTGGCTTGCGCCATTTTGCTAGTGGCATTTTGCTAGTGCAACTCGCTACTGCTACTTGCTAACGCAACTTGCTTGCGCAACTTGCTGCCGCTGGAGGTCTTTCCTGCAGCGCTGTCGCCTAGAGCCCCCCTCCCCCCGCTTCATACGATTTTGGCTAAGATGGTGGCTGGCCCGCGCAAGCCCTCTTGTTGCTTCGCTGGTAAAATGCTTAGTGGAGCCGTGCCCCTTCTCCATTCCAAGGGTTTGTTGACTCGGAGCAAAGCTGTCAACGAAACCGTCGACTTCTCTGTGGCTCATCACCATCACACTCATCATCACCCTCTTTCTCCCCATCATCATCCTCATCCTCGTCATCCTGACCCTCATCACCATCATCATCATCGTCACCACCTTCATCGGCCACAGAATCAACAGAATCCCCCTCATCCACCCTCATCATCACAGCGCTGCAAAAGTCCAAGCTAAATGCTTTGTGTTTAGCCCGAAACCCTCAATTGTCTGCCACTTGTCCACCTGCGCACCTGCATTCATGGCCAGCACTCGCAAATGCCAGCCCAGTCTGGTCAACTCCACGAATGCTTTCAGGATCCAAGCGATTTTTCTTGTTAGAAGATGTCAGAAGGCACCAACCGGAAAAATGCCAAGAGGAAAGCATGTCAGTTTACACCTTGTCCCCGTCAGAAGTCCGACAGCGCTAAGTGTGTCTCCGCTGTCGATGCAAACCTGCACTTGGCCAAGAAGCGCGGCGCTGGCTTCCAATAAGCTCCTGAGCAAAGCAATCAGCCGGATGTCCCACCAGTATATTTGTTCATCGAGAAAACAGACACATTAAAGGCTCGACAGGGCTCTGCTGATGTGCCACAAGGATGCAAACCAGTGCGGCGCTGACTTCCAAAAAGCAGCGCAGAATCCTGAGCGAAGCAATCAGGCGGATGTCACGGTATTTGTTTATCGAGAACAACAGTACATATTCAAGGGGGCTCTGCTGATGCGCCAGAAGCACTGGCTTCCGAAAAGCAGCTCAGAATCCTGAGCAAAGCAATCAGGCGGATGTCACGGTATATCAGCTCAGTGTCCCATCAGCCGGATGTCACAGAATATTTTTACTTGAGAAACATAGACATATTTAGGGCTTGACAGGGCCCTGCTGGTGCGCCACAAGGATGCAAACCTGCACTTGGCCAAGAAGTGCGGGACTGGCTTCCAAAAAGCAGCTCAGTTTCCTGAGCAAAGCAATCAGCCAAATGTCACGATTTGTTTGTTTATCGAGAAAAATAGACATATTCAAAGCTCAACAGTGCTTGCTTCTAGCTCCAACGATGCTCCACAAGAATGCAAACCTGCGCTTGACCAAGAGAGAGGCACATCCTTTGCACACAGGCTAACAGCCAAATCTGCGACATGCCTTTCCCCACTGCTATACATTTTTGCAAGTCATTCCTTCTGACTTCGAATCTATGTTTCTAGCTGGACTGCTTTTGATGCTTCTCAGTTGCGCTGCTGCCACAAGCAAGCCAGGTCAGCCTCAAAACTGGGTAAATCCGACCGCAGAGACTGGGAGACAAAAGACAAGCGGGAGACACGACGCAGCATCTGGCATCCACACGGGGACAAGCGGGAGACACGACCCCGGAGCCAGCGTCACAGCATCTCTGGCCGCAGAAACTGACGGAGACAAGCGGGAGACACGACCCCGGAGCCATCGTCACAGCATCACAGAGACTGCGAGACACAGGGAGACAAGCGGGAGACACAACCCTGGAGCCAGCGTTGCAGCATCTGAGATATCTGACCGCAGAGACAGGGAGACAAGCAGGAAACGACACTGGTGGGAGACGAGACAAGACGAGACTGGCACAGGGAGACAAGCGGGAGACAACCCCGGAGCCGGCGTCACAGCATCTGGCCTCTGACTGCAGAAGCTGGGAGACACAGGGAGGCCCCGGAGCCAGCGTCGCAGAGACTAAGACAAGCGGGAGACACGACCCCGGAGCCAGCGTCACAGCATCTGGCATCTGACCGCAGAGACTGGGAGACACAGGGAGACAGCAGGAAACACGAGAGACACAGGGAGACAAGCGGGAGACATGACCGTTACAGCATCTGGCATCTGACCGGAGAGACTGGGAGACAGGAAGACAAGCGGAAAACACGACTTTCCCATTCTCTATACCTCAAGTTAGAACCCCAATGCTTCGCTGTTTGGGGAACAAAAGCTTCTTGAAGCACGGCTAAGAAACCGATTGCTATCGAAAGGCTCCCGCAAGGCCCCAAAAGTCATCATCAGATTCAAAGATGCCCACTGCTTGTCAATGCTATGCTGTCAAGTGACTCTATTTGTCACCATTTGGCACACCTACAGCTGTGGGCTGTTGAGGCATGTTCTATTGAGGCAGGTTTGCAGTGGACGCAACCAGCGATCAGGCATCCTGAATGGCAAGTCGTCCAAACATTTAGCGATGGGACACATCCGGGGTATCAAGGCTGCGGCAAATGCCGGCTCACCTGCAAAGCACAGTGTGCCTGGAATTCTGGTCCTGTCTATCAAGATTTTCAGACGCACACGGCCATTCTATAACTTGTTCACACCTCAACCGTGGTCGCTGGACTTTGTTGCCCCCACCGGTTTCTGATGTCCACCAGCGGAGCGGGTCCTTTTCAAGCCGTTAAGATTCCTGCATAAACCATATCTGATTCCCTACAGGTTCCCCTTCCAACCAACAGATGGTCCGAATCCCATTTTGAGAACACCCGCAACTTGCTTGGAGTTAGCAGCGCCTGAGGATGGAGACTCCCGTGTGGGGCCTCTAAAATTTCTGGAAGGCCAGATGCAAACTTCGGCCGACGTCGGCTGGGTTTAAGGGACGACAAATCCATGGGATGACCATCTACCCGCTTACTTACCAGCGAGTAAAATGGCGGTGGGCGTGCGCCCTTCCCATGTATTCTTGGTGGTGTTTTGGTGAATCAGATGCTTTCTGGATGTATTTTCCGCGAACTCTTCTTACTCCAGGTTTCTTTTTTTTTTAATCCACCCTGGTACCTGTTTTGGGGTCGGAGCCAGGTCCTGAAATGGCACGTGTAAAGGAGGTTGGTTTCTGTCCATGGTTTCACTGGGGGTTGGGCCTGCGAAGCTTACTTCCCAAATGGTAGAATCCTGCGAAGGAGATTCCTCAAAATCTTGCTGGTTAGTGATGAAGAGGGTTCTGGGAATGAACCATGGATCCTTTCAAACGACACAAGGGGTGGTTCCGCTTGTGTTTCAACTTAGTAGTGGGTAGCTCGGGTAACTGGTTGGTCCCATGGTTACCTACCTGACGTTGATTGCGCACCCAAGTTTGCAGCACCCTGACCAATTAAACAATGATTATCTGATTGGAACCTTCTGGACCCTCTACCAAAGGGGCCCAAACAAGTAAGTCTCCCTCAGGAATTGCAGCTACCCCCGTTTCGATCAACTGGAATCTTCTGGAACCCCTAGCGAAGGGCCCAAATAAGGCTCCCTCAGCGGCTTCCCGTAGGAATCGGCTGCCTGTTGGAATCGGCTCGGCTGCCCGCAGGCTGCTTGCGTCTGAAGGGCGCGGCGAGATCCATCGACGCCGGCGGCCAAGGGCGCACCGCGAGGAGCTGGCGGGGCATGGGGTGACAACACATCTGAAGCCAAATGGGTGGTTCCCATTACGAGGGACATTGTTGTTTTGTGGCAAAGGACAACTACGTGTTTATATATATATATTTTTTGGGGGGGAGGGGGGGGTCCAACACCAATCCACCAAGCCATTCTAATTGCTTAGGCCTGGTTTTAAAGGCCTTTCAGATCTGGGTGCCCAACCGGGAAAGGGTTTGCCACAACTTCCTGCTCGATTTTCCTAAGCGGTTAGCTTTGCCATGGTATGCACAAATGCATGGCTGCAAGTCCCCGTAGGCAAAGGTATCCACGGGATTCCCCAAGCCAAAGTAGGTCCCCAGTTGCAACCCATCTTCCCTTTTTGTGATGGGTTGCCTCTGAAATCAGCCTAAAAAAGCGGGGTTGCCGCCAAAATGTGAAATGGGATCTCATTGGGTCGTGGAGACCAGGGGCTCTCGGTGCTCGGTTGCAACTCTTTGTGGCCGAGGGAGTCCCCTGAAAAAACTGCCTCCCACATTGGCGTCTTGCGTTTTGGGAGCCCATGACATGGACATGTAGGTCACTCGGATTTCCCTTCTTCGGGCTATCATTATTTGCTCTGAGGTGGTTTGCATCCAGAGAGACCTCGCCTCCGTGAGCAACAAGCTCGACACGCAGGCCGATCTGGATGTGGGAGGCAACCCTTGACTGTTCTTGGCGTTGTGCTTGCTTGGTGACGTTTTTAGGTGTTTAGGGTTTAGATTTGTGTGGTAGCTGCCACTAAGCTACTAAAGGTTAGACTTTTAGCAGGGGGTCTAGGAGCATGTTTTTTCAGGGGTTTGGTTCTGTTCAATTTGAGTTGGGCTGCAGGTAACAAGGTTGCTTTGCTCATATGCCTAGGAGGGGAAAGCGAAGAACATTCAGTTGGGGGTCCTGAAAATTTGGGGACCCCCTCCAGGTTCTTGGTTTCCTGGTTGCTACTGAAGCTGCAGCAAAGAGTCGCCAATTTTGAGAAACACCCAGTGGTTCCCGGACACGGGAGATCAAAACAGAATGGCATAGTGTTGAACTGACGCTTTTAATATGAGCCCGCAAGTGCAACATTGCAGCCTAACCGGTGACTACTGAACAGTCAGGAGAGGAAGGGCCATAGCCTTCCCTCCCTTCAGGTGCCTGGGGGTTGTTGTTGGGGATGCCACCTGTGCTTGTGTTTCTCTGATCCCGCCCAGAGGTCAAAATCTGTGCAAATCAACATCTCCCAGGCTGCCATGGAATTTCTTCAAAGAGTTTAGAAAGTTCCTTCATTCTCCTTCGCCGCAATCGCGGCTTCACTGTGGGGCTTTGCGCTGGTGGCGCGTGACAGACCACTGAGGTCTGTTGGGCGCAACACAATTTCCGATCGGATCGGTGGCGGTTCCTGCCTGCCGTTGGTGCATCGTCTCAAGGGACTCCAGAATCTGCAGCAGCGATACCATTGTAGTGAGCGCTGGGCACCTGCAACAAGCCAGCCGGAGGCTCGGGCTTCCTCTCGCTCTTGGGCGTCGGATGAAGGTGGACAAAGGACCAAGTCCCAAGTCCGAAAATCTCGACGCGGGGAGAAGTCTAGCTCTGCAAGAGGTCTTTTAGGAGAATCTCGGAATGCGGATCAACTATATACTTGATGAAGAATTACGGGAGCAACAACATGTCACTCAAGCACAATTACGCGAAGCGGCGCGCCAATACGACGAAGTGAAAGCTCTGCAGAGCGAGCGTGTTGCCTTGTTGGCAGAGGATCCGAAAGCTGGAAAGGATGAATACTACATTGGAAGCACAGGTTGCTCTTGCGCAGGGAAGAATGAAGGATGAGTACCACGTTGCTACCGACCAACTGGGAGACAGGAACGCACAGCTAACCGAAGTGGAAGCAGCGGAAGCTATGGCGTTCGGGATGAGGAATGAGAAGTTGCAACATCGTCGCAGGAAGCAGAACATGCTGCTGCACAGTAGTCATCGCAAGCTTGTCAGGGGAAGGGAGAGACACCCAGACTCGTCAGCGATATCGGGGAAGCAAGAGATGCATTAAGAGCGGACCCATGCAGGCAGGCTTAGCCCGCTGTTGGAGACGATGCTGGCGGGAACAAGCAAGGGGCAATCGCAACGAGAACTATCACGCGTGCAACACAGACCACCTCCCCAATTGCATCATGACCGGCGCCCTCTGCCTATTGGTGATTGCAGTTCTTCTGGTGTCTCACGACTTCCAATTAACATGAAGCGTGTTATGGTGCCACACATCCATGTACGCTCTCTCTTGGGTGATTTGAGCATGTCCGAAAGGGAAAGAACGAGCCAGCAACCATGTTTGTAGGTGTCGCTTTGAAATACGTTTTAGGTTGAGCTGTCCACGTACAGATCAACATGTTCTGCGCCGTGGAGAATTTTTTAGTATAGGTCTCAAGCGACATGCGCAATTGGGAGCATTTACATGTGGTGATTTTGCGGCGTACCCTGAGATTGGGTTCTGAACCGGTCCGTGGATTCGTCCCTCTTCGCAGTGCAGGCGGCAGAGCTGATGGGGGTTTTGAAGCAGACGCTTTGGCGACTCTCCTAAGGAGTCAGCGCCCCAGCGAAGTCATGGCATTTGCCAGACGTACACAGCTTTCCTTTCTGATTTTTGCCAGTTTGTTCATTCCATCGTTGTCCCTTCAACCAGCAGCAAACATAGTTCTGCAGGAGTGCATTTCTTCCTGTTTTGTGTTTTTGTTTGGCGGGGGTACGCACCGTGTGCAAATTGCAATCTTTTCTATGGTTTTTCGGCACAGCTGCAATTTGAAGGTTTTCTTTTGGCGGTTGTACTGCATATCCGGGCTACAAAGAAGAAGTAAAACAATCAGGAGACCAAGGAACTCTATCCAACTATACAAATGTGTCTAACAATCCTGAGACAGTCTTTGCAAACTGTGCCAAAGTTTCTGGGGGAATGTTTTTGTTTTTTGGGGGTTTTGTATTTTTTTCCCGCTTGTGGTTTTGGGCAGGGCTAATTCAATGAGGGGCACACCCAAAAGTCGGGGCAATGATCAGAGCCAGGCCTGAGAAAACATTTGGGTGTCTCTCAGACTGATTGAAATGAGCTTCCGGCCTGGAAGTTCGGGTTGAACTCTTGTTGAACAAAGTGTGTTTAAAGCTAGCTTAATATGGAAGTGACAATGGACAGGAAATCCTGCGTAAAGATAAGGGTGGATCTTGTTTAACTCCGAGAAGCTGCTTTTTGATACAGTCAGCTGACCGGATGGTTGATCAGGATACCAAATGCCATTGTGCCGCTGCATTTTCATGGGTAGAGCTTCGCAGTCCCCAGCCTTCAAAACATACACAGTATCAACCGAACGAGCGCGCTGCCATCACCAGCCAGCATCTCTGGCATCACCAGCACCCAGCAATTGCAGGGGATGCAGGGTGCATTTTTTGCAGAAAGCTGCGAATATTGCTCCAGAGCTTCCCGCCCACCCGCTTCCTATTTTTAGTCCAACCTCTGACGGGTCCACTGCGGGAATGGATCGCGATCTAAGAATGGACGTACCCACAGGGTAAAACCTGATGTCGCTGGCGCAGACAAAAGCACCTGTCCAATGACCCCGCAGGAACGCCCTTGGGTCGCAGGACCAAAGTCTTCGTGATGGGACCAAATAGGATCCAATGTTGTCTAAGAAAATATTTTGGATGATTAAAAAGCGAGGAACCCTTTTTAATCAAAAGGGACGCGCCCTATGATTCAAAGGGGTTTATTCCTCAGGTCTAACAAAGGGTACCCTCCAAAGAAGACATGCCCGCATTGTGTCGTGGTGGGTTTGCCTTTGGTGTGGGTGTAGACCCATGTTCTATGGGTGAATCGACTCAATTGACACCATCTAAAAAAAAGGCCTATTCTCCACCGACATCTTCATTCTTACCCTCGAAATTGTGATTTGAAGGGAACCCGCTGAGTCACAGGAAACCTCTTATGGCTCATGGATCTGCATGAGTTGATTTGTCTTTTGATATCATGGGAACACGGAAGTTGTTGGGTCAGACACCGTGCGCCAAGGCATCGCCCCTCACGTCCGCGTCCGCGCGCGAATCGTTTCTGCGCCCAATTCGGCTGATTGGCTGATTGGCCGAAGCACCGAGCCGAGGTGTTTTGTTCGGAGGGGGACTGCCCAGTTAGCTATAACCTGCTGGATGAATATCCAAGTATGCGCTAAGAAAGGTATATCTGACGGCCTTTGGGAGCTGAGGAGCTGGTGGTTGTGTTGCCATCAATAGGCCAAGAATAGCTTCTAGTTGACATTGGCGCCTTTTGGCACGCATCCTTGGGAGCAACAGCAAAGAAAGTGCTCATTTTGTGGGGCCAACGCACGAAGGAAGGTTTTTCCTACTGGAACGAGGGCCTGGGGAAGGGAGAAAACCATTTTCCTATTTGCACGAACGACGCGCGAAAGCCCCCCGAACAGCAGGGTTAGCTTCGTTTGGGGCATCCAAAGTTGATGGCTGGATGCCGTTCTAGCTTTCTCACCTGGCACGGTTTAGAAGTCTGCTGACTTCTCCGAGGCGCATCAAATTCATCCGTTCCCTGACTCTTCTCAACCGGTCGGATTGGGTGGTGGTGTTCTTGATTAGTCGCACAGACGTTGAACAAGTAAACGCATCTTCTCATTTGTAGAGGGATCTGGGTTTGTGTCAACATAGGGGAAACCCAAAACGGGTGATTTCCTTTTGGTTCCCCAAGGCAACCCCAAAGCAGTACCTTCAAAGAAGCGCAGCCCTGTCTCCTTTTGGGCCTCTTTTGGGTTCTATGCAGAGTGAGCAGCCACTGCCCCATCCAGATACGGCGGCGCAACCCTGCGCGCCCGCTCAACGAGGCGGAAAAGAGACAAAAGAAACACGCAGTACCAAAACGAAACTCAACTCGTATGTGCCGCTGTCAAACACCCTTTGGGGTTGGTATGGATTGTCACGGACCCCATGGCATGGGAATGTAGATAAATTCCTATTCGGGGATCCATGACCATGACCCTCAGAGCAATGTTCGTTGTCCAGTTTTTTTGGGGGGGGGTTGGGGATTTGGGTATCCTCTTTTCGAGACACGCCGCAGACCCTCGTTTGCAATAATATTGGACACGCCCTTTTTGTAGGGTACTTGTTTGGTTGGTTTTCAAGTGACACGCCGCGCCCCAAGACCGTTCCCTCAGCCCCAAGCTTCCTCAAGTTGTTCTTTGGCTCCGCCCGTTTGTTTTGTGAAGCTCGGATGGAATCGGTCGATCAAGCCTCGGCGCCGGGGGGTTGGCTTCAGGCTCAAAGCTAAACTTAGCTGGGCCTCACCGCACCCGAGGGTTCAATGGATGTTCTCAACATCGGCACATGTTTTTGTGATGGTTGAGGCGGTGATGCAATGATGGAGACACACTCAAAGTGCCGGTTCAATCTCAGGAGACATATATATATATATCTTTTTTGTAAGGCGTAGCTTTTCGGTCACTTGTCGTGATTCTTCGAAACATAGGTACCACAGTTCTCTTTCTTTATTGGGCCAGCATCCTATGTACTCCCAGCAAACGTTGCTTTGGGGGGGGCGAAGTGCGCACGGGGGGGGAGCTGTGCGCGGGTTCCCCGCGCTGCCGCCATGCCGGAGAAGGGCATCTCCCTGACGGCCCAGAAGCCCCTGCAGCCTCCGAGTGTGGACGACTCCTCTTTCCTCGAGGCGCATCCAACCCATCCAACCCAAATGACGCCACCAACCCGAGGCACCAAAGCAGTTGGAACATCAAAATGGGGGTTGATCAATATTCCTGGCCCCAAAATGACCATGGGTAACTTTTCCCATTTAGTGGTGAAAGTCATCTTGTTTGGTGGTTTCCCTGATGGTCATCCCATGTAAAGGAACTTTTGATCAATTCCTAAATGAATAAACATCATGGCAACGGCATTGAACCAGTCCAGGGGTGAAAGTTGCACTTTGTGAATCCACTGGCGCCATATGCTGGTGTTTCTCAAACACTGGACCCCAAGTTCCCCTTAGGTTTCGCCTAGGAACAAGTGTTCTGCCAAACAAAACATCAGTTGAGGGTCCTCAAAACTCTCGGGGGAGTTTTTTTCTTTTTTCTTTTTATTTTCTGAGCGTATGGCATTTCTGCGTTTCTCTCCAGAATGCTTTTATATGTGAGATCGGTATAGGGGGACACCTAAGGATGGTGGCTTTCTTTTTGGTTTCCCTTTAAAGTTACTTTAAAGAGGGAACCCTCGAAAGAAAAAAAACCAGGTAGACTAAATCTGAACAGGTCCCTTGTTGCCCGGGACCTGGCCCAAGAAGCTCAGTTGTGACCAAGCTGTTTTTTTTTTCGTGGCGGGTGGCTTAATGTTCAGCCAGGGTCCCAAGATGTCCCAAGTTTTTTGCTTGGGCCACTGAAGCTTGGGAATTCCCCTGGACTTCCCCTTGAAGATTTCTCGATGTCGGGGAACCGGGGTACACCGATTTCCCATTTTTGGGACGCCCATCGCCTTACTTTGAGTCCTGAGGGCGCCGAATCGAGATCTCGTCGAGCATACTTTGGGTTCACTGAACGCCTAAGGGGCCTTACAAGGAGCTTTATAAGGAGCCTTAGAAGCAAAATATAGGTTCGTGGGGTTCACTAAATGGGAATGTGACATAGGACATGGACCCCTAACATCGTAACATGGTGGCTCCCCGACGGAACAAGTCAGAACCACAACGCTTGTCATGCCGCTGCCGAACTCCCGGTGGGCTTTTGACAGGTCCCGTGAGAATTTGGTCGAACTCGAAATCCCTCCGGATTTGTCTATGGTTCATTCCCCCAACCCCAGAGGACTCACCAATTGTCCCATTGGGAAAACAAGTCATTTCGACCATGGCGTTCCAAACTTCGGCGTCAGGACCTGACCGGTAGGCATGCCCATGGCAAACACCGCCTTTGATACATGGGTATGTGCCCTTTAAGGTTTGGTTGCCCTTTAAACCAGCCCAATAAGGGAATCCTCAAAGCCCTTCATATCAAAAAAAAGAAACAACATCTGGACAATTTCGAATGATCATAGTTTTGTCCCTTGCGGATTCCTTGTGTCCGGTCTGGGCATTCATTAACCCACACACAATTGACATGGTTCTAATCTACTTAGCCTCAACATTTGCCAAGCACCATGTTTGTTTTTGTTTTTTCCAAGCAAGTGCGCCCCTTTTTTCCCATGGCCACTCTGGGCTCTCACAGGAGCCAAGCCACGGCCACGAGTGCGACGCCTACGCACCTTGGCGAGAACTTGGGCTGCGGAGGCACGTGCGCGGCAGTTTTGATCAATAAACATCTATAGAAAGTAAAAGTCCACCTAACTCGTACAGGATCTTGTGCATCAGTCACTTTGGACACTAAAACCGCAAACCCTAAACTCCTAAACCTCAAAACCACAAACCCTAAACTTCAACCCTAATTCATAAATCCTCAAACCTGAACCCCACAACTATTATAAACCTTAACCCCAAAACCATAAACCCTAAACCTTTCCCCTCAAACCTGAACCCTCAACCATAAATCCTTCCTCGTAGCGCAGTCATGGCCAGTATGTATAAGAAAGAAGACGCGTGGCAATACGCTTCAACGCCTGGGCACACCTGGGAGCTGTGTACAAAAATAAAAAGTAGTTTTGACCATGCACATGTGTTTGCGCCAAATAAGCCCAGGTGGTATCCCCAACAGCAGCCCTGGAACCCTTTCGGAACCCTCGCTTGGACAGTTCGCATGCTGCGTTTGGCATGCCTTTTGAGAGGTGGCACAAGGTGGTCGCGGCCTTTGCGTCCCCTCAGGCTGCATACCGTCGGCTTGCGTGCTAGAAGCACGACAGGCATTTGTGGTCAGCTGTCCGCGGGGACAAAGTCTGCAGGATGGCGAACAAGAAGCTGCGTGCGATGCTCTTGGGAGGCAACTCTCACCTTCAGATCATTGCGGTTGAGCGCCTGGTTGCAGCCTGCTGTGCAAATCCGGGAAGGAGTTTGCAGCGGTGGAATGGCGGGGTTGGTCATGCCGTCTCTGTCTTGCGTCGGATGCTTGTTAAGCTTAGTCGGACGGCAGAGACCTCAAGCTTCTGGCTGTTGCGGATAAACGGTAAAACCAACAGCTAAGACATGTTCTTTTTCGGGTCTCAAGGCTCAAGGGACAAACCAAGAAAGTTGGTTTCCTTAACGGTTTCAAATTCTGGCGACCCATCTTTACCCTATATAAGATCATTCTGCATGATCTGGGCCTTTGGGCTGCAAAGTCGCTTCTGCAAGAGCCTCCATGCGCAGTGCAGCTAGCAAATCATTCTGGCCCCAGACATCGATTTGAGTGAGGATTTGGCAAGAGCATCTTTGGGGTTATCGCACCCACGGCCGTGTCGAATTCAACATGGCATGGAATTGATGGTCCTCCACCCGCACCCAGAGCAATTGAGACTCTGGTCGCGTGGATCAGTGAGAGGGCTTGGTCGCTTAGTCACCCGAAAAACTTCGGCAACAATGCGACTTGCGCAGGAATCATGCTAGTTTCTGGATAATTAGTGACGAGCTCGCCAATGAATGGGAAGAACCGAACCCACCCGTGATAAAGGTCTTTCACTGGAGGGTTTCTGATTTCCAGCTTACATTAATTATAGTAACTTGCCGCCAGATGTCGACTTTCTAAAGTCAGGGCCCCATTTTGGTTGGTTTCCGACTCAAAGGAAACCCACTATTTTCGTTGCATGTTTTCGGAGCTTCCTATGGGGTAGTGGCAACTTGATGGGGATGAGATTCCACCTGCAGCAAAGTCCTGAAGCAGCGAAGTTTGTTTGTCTCAAGCCCCTACTTGGGTGCTCGGCCAAGCTGACAAGTGGTTAATCTGTCCGGTAACAACAGGGTAAGCTTCTCTCGGGGCCTATAGATTGGCCAGAACATAGGTTACTAGCCACCTAACTTGGCCGAGTACCCAAGTAGCCTTGTTTCCCTTTACAACTGGAAGATATGGGCGTGCCTTGTTCGGGACAACTGTTTTTTTTTGCGGGGTCCCCCGAGTTCTCGCACACGGCGTGTGTGCTTAGGCCGCTCTTGTCTTCAGAGACGAGAAGCTCTTTGCACGCCTGGAGGACACAGCCGGATGTACAAGGGCCCCAAATCCCAGTTCTATGTAGAAGAGGCAATAGGTGCAATTCCGTTTGTTGTGGGTCAATCGATTCCAGTCAATAGGATGATTGTGATTTGCCCAAAGTTACAAGCTCACTCTTACCATGAAGGCCTTTGCTTGGGATCCCTTATCATGGCCGGTCGTTGGTGCGAATCGCCCCTTCGACCTTTGGAAACACTTGACTTTTCCATTAAACCTGCAAAAGGCTGAGTCTGTGGCCCGCGGGGAAGAGCAGCTTGTTTATTTAAGTTTTGGGGTTGATTTTAGAATTTGCGAATTCCCATCTTTCTGCCTCCTATCGTCTCGAGGTATGGACATTTTGTTTAAAGGAAGTGGCTGTCATTTGTTGTACAGTCAATGTTGATAGTGGTAGCATCATGGGGCCATTTTAAGTATGTCTACACCACTGCCCGGTTGTTCGGGTAACTGCTCTCTAAACCCGGGCAGCCGGGATGTGTGTTTGCGCACATTCCTTTTGATTTCCCGTTGATCAGGGACCCTCCCGCAACGATCTCTCCCACAGCGGTCTTCATTAGCCGCCTTACGGCTCGCCCCATACGGCCTTAGCGGTGGGAGGTCTGCGGGAGGTCTGTGGGAGGTCTGTGGGAGGTCTGTGGGAGGTCTGTGGGAGGTCTGTGGGAGGGTGTGTAGGGTCCCTGATTTGACCGGGGAGACGGACTGCCTCATGGCTGTGACCGTGGATTTTTTCGTGATGGCCCATCGGTATCACAGAAAGGGGTATTTCCCACAGCCACGTACTTAAAACAACATATGAGGTGCAGTCAAAGTTCAGACAAAAATAACGCGACTTGCTGGTTCAGAGTTCCTTTCCCGTTTGGGTTGGTGTAAACATCATCTTGGATTATATAATTTAGCGAGGACATATAGAGAGAGCCCTGTTCAATTTTCCCATGTGCAGAAATGTGTAATGTGGGTGCCTGATTAATAACCCCCCCCCCCCCCAAAAAAAAAATGCAGCCCCAATAGAGCAAAACCTTCAAAACCACTTTGGGGGTCAGATCGGCCTTTCCCAAGTTTAGTACTGGCAGAGTATTGGTTAGTGTTGTTTAGTGTTTGTTTAGTATTGGTTTTGTAGTGGTTTAGTATTGCTTTGTGCTGCTTTACTGGCCTGTATCGGTTTCCTGTAGCCCGAAAGGTGTTTTTGTCTTCTTCTTTTTCTTTCTGACGGTTTGCTTGTCCCTTCTTTCTTGCCCGTTGCGAACAAACACGGCCGAATGCAGAAAGAACACTTTCTTTGGCCGTTTGCCTTGTTGTCTAGTGCTTCACACATGCCACGCAAGCTTCTGAGAGGGCTCCTTTTTTAAACCTCCCCCCCCCACCTTTTTGTTTGACCCCCCCATTCCTTCAGTTTAATTCCCCCAACTCCCCTTTTCGAAGCCCCCTTCTAGTTTTTTGCACCCCTTTTGCTGTTATTTGACCCCTGTCCACTTGCCTTTCCACCCCCCACGTATTCTTTATAACCCCCGCTCTGTTTTTCTTAACCCGCCCCCCCCCCCCCCCCCGCCAAACCCCCCTTCAGCGCGAGGATTGGCTAGCCCGGCTGGAGGCGTGGCACGGGTCCCGCTATCAGCATGGAGTGGGGTTGGTTGGTTTTACATGTTGGGACCAAGATGCAATGGGTGTGCCACAAAAGGGGGAGCCTCATGTTTGGTTTGGTGGGGGCGGTTTCCTTTGTCCGTTTAAATTACACAAATACACACTTCCTGCACAGTGAGATGGAACCCAAACCATCATGTGTAAAAGAATCGAGCCCATTTTGGGGTCCACGCTAATTTGCTGAGGAGTCATCACAACTTGGTTTTGACCATGGGTGATCTAACTTTCATGAGGGGATGGCAATGGTGAAGCCTGCTGAACCTTCTACAGTCCCTTTTAGGGGTTGAGTTTCCCCAAAACGGGCGCCCTCGCCGGGAATTTGGTGAACCCAAATGGGGGCCAAGGTGTCATTCGGACACCCCTGCAGTTTTTAGAGGCCCACCCTCAACGTTGAGTTGCCCTCAACGTAATACAGACAGTACTGACGCACCTTGCAGTTGTCATATTTCAAAATTGTCCTTTGTGTGGGGTGAGGTTTGAGGGGGACCGCAAAGTAGTAGAAAAGCAATCGGGGCACATTCGGCAAGCTCGAAACTACTTTTCAGAGTTCCATTGTTGGTGTTCCAAAAGGACCTAAACCCAGGGTTCTGTTTTGGCGTGCATGAGCCACCCTGGGTTTAAGTTCAAGTCTTAGAGTAATATGGAGTTTTGTTTGACTTCTGTCCGGGGCTCAGGGAATCCATCCTTAAGACGAAGACGCACTCTTCCCATGTCACACCTTGAGGCATGGCATGGGGGTCCTTTTGGTGGGAAGGGGAGGTCTCCGGCACTGAAAAAAGGGCCAAGGGCCCAGCTCGATTAGCAGGAAACTCCGACAGAAAACCGCCATGTTCCTTTGGAGGAACTCCTATAGAAACCTCCTGTTTGGATTCCGTGTTACTTCGGAAGCAACAAAAGGTGACGACGATGGAAAAGGCCAATCCGGGAGAGCGGTGCCGGGGGGGGGGGGGAGGGGGGCCAAAGTTGCCGGTGATTTGGGGCCCCTTGTTCACAGGTGTCGATGGACAAGATGACTTCCGGCAAGGCGCGGTGGAAGTTGGAGGATGCCACCATTATGGAGCACGGCGGGCCCAGTTATGTTCTGCATCTCCAATGGAATAGTCACATAGTGGCCCATGCTCCCAAATGTTTTGCCTGATTTTCTTCACTCAGCCGACGGCCGTCGCAACAAAAGCAAAGAGATTGTCTTCACCATCGGAATCAAGGAATCCCATAGCAGAAAAGTGTCTTTTGCTCACCAAGAACCACTAAACCACGAAAAGTTAGACTTGTAGCAGGGGATCTGCGAACAGGCAAGCCATGAAACCCTAAGTCCTCCCAAACTCGCTTC